GCATTAAATCTGTTTCTCTAATAAGCACTTACTGACATACCCTGTCTCAGAAAAAAAAAAACTTTAGAAAAAGAGCTAGCTCTGAACACAAACAAACCCATCTTCACATCAGTGAAAAGCCAAGAAAACAAAAAGGGAACCAGGAACTATACTTGGGAGATCCTGAAAACCTTTGATATTTTTCCTCATATTACTTTGAAAGACAGAGAAAAGCAGAGAAACTAGTTCTTCTAAGTCTCCTTAAGATGAGACAAAGTTCAGGTGATTTTCAAAGTCATGGTTTATTCTTTTGGCTAGTCTTTCTTTGAGCAAGTGTGTGAATTTATATAAGAAGTGAAAGGCCATTTTTCTCCGAAGTTCTAATTATTAACCCCAATGTGAGCCTCTTAGAATGAAACGGACAAGTCTAACCTCTCCATACATCTGTCTAGATAGTCTTTCGAGCCACACATGTATTCCATTCAGCTCTACTTACTTACATAATTTTTCTACATATCCTTAAACCTATCCATATAGAAAACTCTTTAAATTTTCTATTCACATAGAAAACTCTTTAAAAGTGAGATTGGATCAGGATGTATGCTGACTGAGAGCTGAGCAGTTACATGGCTTGGAGCATCATGGTTTCAACTAAAGAGATTTTCTGGTGTGGGGTGGGTGGAGTGTGGGATACTTCTCCTCAAGTGATGGCCTAAGCCAGCCCTTTCCCATTTCCTGTGGTTCATGTGTATCTGAAAGCCTTTGGCCAAGGCCTAGGAGGTGGGGCAGGGAGAAGAGGCAGTTTCTGGTTCTTCATGACCTTCAGGGTAGCTGCATACTGGCTGGGGTCCCCTGCCTCCTCCATTAGGGTCTTTGGCCTCTTCTCTCCCAGTCTGGAGGCCATCCCTCTCTTTCCCCCACCTGGAAAGTTCTGCCCACAGGATTTCTCATTCTCAGCCCTTGCCCCAAAGCTTCAGGCCACCAGCTGCCCTAGCAGTGGTGTGGCTGAGGCTGATATAGCCCTTCCCAGCTCCTACTGAAACAGGACAGGTGCACTCAGAGAAGAGGAGACATGAGTCTCAGGCCATGATCCATGAAACACTAATGACAGAGACCATTTTTCTCTCTATTGTCCCTTACTAACAACGTGTGGAAATCACCTTGCCTTACTCCCCACTCTTAATGCTTCTCATCATAAAGCAGGGAGACACCAGGATGTCTCCATCAGTGAAAATGGCACTGACAAATACCTGGCACTGGGAGGAAAACATGAGACCATACTTACAACGCTGGGAGGTGCCAGCCCCTCACCTATCCCAGAGAAGTCATAAAAATGAGTTCTGTTCTTTTGTTTAGGGGTCAGTCTGATCCTTGGAGCTGTGCCTCCTTCAGCTCTTCAAGCTAAATCCCTGTCCCTGTTTTTTCTTTTTTTCCTACCTTTTTAATTACTGTACATTGGTTATGCAGATTAATGGACCCCACTTTGGCAGAGTTGTATATATACATAAAATAATTTAAGCATTTCCCTTCCTATTACCCCTTTGCCCCAGTCTCCTCTGTTTCATCTTTTTTGGATATATATATATATATATATACCATATAGTATATATATATATACTATATGGTATATATATACACTATATAGATATATAGATATATAGATATAGTATATTTTGATCATATTCATCCCTCATTAGTTAATTGTATGCCCCATTTCCCCTTATTCCCCTCCTCTTGTCTAATAAAAGTCTCAACTTAAGATCTTTTTTAGATCCTGCGTATTAGTGAGCACAAGTGATATTTGTCTTTCTGAGTCTGGTTTATTACCCGATGATCTCGAGATCCATCCATTTTTAAGCAAATGACAACACTTTGTTCTTTTCAAAGGCAGAAAAATACTCCTTTGTGTGTGTATACCACATTTTCTTCCTCCATTCATCTGCTGATGGGCACCTAGGCTTAGTCCATGTTTTTTTTTTTTTGAAGTTTTATGGTTAGTTTATTAACTTCAATGGTGAAAGTTATCAGAAGAATATTCTCTTGAGAGTTATTTTTTCTCAGAAAAAAAAGAAAGGAAAATTAAAAGCCTCTCAGCACAGCCACTGATGCCGTGGCTGTGGAGCTCTCTGGAGATGGTGCCTCAGTCCTCTGAGTCACTCCCTGGGCCCCCAGGGTTATAGCCTGGGTCGTCATCAACATCCTCCAGCTCCAAGTCATCCAGTTCCTGGAACAAAGACTCATCTACTTCCACATTATTTCCAGCATCCTCCAAGAACTTGATATCAGACGTGTCAAGATTATGTTCAGTTTCAAACAGCTGTTTGCCACTTAATTTATTTTTTCCTGCTTGCTCTTCTTCTTTTATCCTTTTCTTTTTAATTTCCAGGAATTCTGCATAAACTTGGCTTTCCAACATAAGAAATTCTCAATTGTAACAGGAGTGCCGTGGAATAATTGCTTCTCTGCTTCTTTTCCTTTTAGTTTCTTTTCTTCCTCTCTTCTCATTTTTATCTGATCTACTATTTCATTTAATTTTTCTTGCATTGCTGTCACTAAAGAAAAGATCATGACCACACCAAGATTTCCCTCAGCCTGTAGTGCTAATAATTTTAAAATGTCTATGACATCATTATCTTCTAGGTTTTCCTGGGAAAATATTTCATAAAGAGGAGCTTCATCTGGGTATTTTTCACTGTATGTAAACTTGAGGGTAGTCTGGACAGTTTCATCATTTTCTCCAGCCTCAGATGTCACAGTGATGGTGAAGCTGGGTGGATTTTCTGATAATACTGTGAAGAAGTCAGGGTAGATAGACTCCAGAGCCTCCAGTTCGTTTTGCTGCTCCTCACTGTAGTCTGTCATCGCGGCCCTGGCTGCTGCCCATGGAGCACGCTGACGCTTAGGCAGTGCGCCACAGCTGAGTCCCGAGGCCTCCAGGCCAGGCCTGGCCTGCTGAGCCACAGCCCTGCACTGCTCTCACCTTAGTCCATGTTTTGAGTATTGTGAATTGTGCTGCAATTAACAAGGGGATGCATTCATCTCTATGATGTGCTATTTAACTTTGTCTAATAAATCTGGTTGCTATGTCTCTCCTTGATGTGTCCTGAAATCCTTTTTTGTGATAAAGTGGAAAAACCTGCTCCATGGGGGTGGCCTGAGCAAGATGGGGTCTCCACTTCCTCTTTGGGAGCCCTCCTCAGACCCAGTCAAGTGGAATGCCAATTTCGTGATTTTCATCTGAATCGAGCAAAAGAACTCTTGGCTGATTTGTAACACCTCTCTGCCTCCTCTGAACAGTCCAATACCTTGCCTGAAGGAACTAAAAATAGCTGGAAATGCTCTAGCTAAGCAGTCTCCAGGGGCTGGGTCAGCTGAGTCTCCAGAGAAGGCAATCATGGAGCCTGATGGACGCTCCAAGCTCTGCAAGCTCCAATGTCTGCAGGCTGGTGAGCAGCAGATGCACATCCACTCACACATTCAGCCCCCCTTAGTTGTGCACACACTGCATGCCCATGTGGAAACTCGAAGTGTTAACTGCATGTTGAGGGTAACAAGCACATTTCTTGGAGATGCCTTGCTGGCACTGTAAGACCGTGGGCCTCACCAACCACTCTGAGGAGCTGACTACAGTGAGGATCACCCGGGAGGGAACACACCAGACAAATTGAGAAAGTAAAACAGACCTTTATTAGTCTGGCCAGACGGCACCCTCCAAGCACCAAGCTTAGAGAGGCGGCTGGCTCAGAGTCTGAGGTCCTTTTATAGGGGTTGCAAGAGGGAACTTGGCAAGCAGCAGTACAGAAGTGAGACATTGGCGGTTAGGGGAGTGTTGCAATTAATCTTTACATAGCAGGCATAAAGACTATCTTGTGGTTTTTCTTGGAACAACAACAAGTTCATTCCGGGAACTCAACATCCCCATGGTGACCCGTAACAGAAACAGACAAGATGGGGCCTTATTACAAAATGGAGTAACTTCTCTTCAGTCTCACATTCCCCACTGATTTTAGCACAGTAAGTAATCCTATGCATGGCTTTTTTTTTAATGGCACTGGGTTGTATCTAGCCTCTTAGTTTAAAACCATTAGGCGAACAGATCCCACCTGGGCCCTTACATAGGCCATAATCTTATTAATAATGTATGAGCTGAAAGTCAAAGCTAGTAGCAAGATTAACAGGGGTCCAGCAAGGGCAGAAACAAGAGTAGTCAACCAGGGAGACCAGTTAAACATTGATTGGAACCATCCCTCCTGTTTTTCTAATCTATCATTTTTCTTGTAGGTGTTTATTTACAGTGGCCAGGGTTTTTTTTATTAGTCCAGATTTATTAGCATAATAGCAATATTGTTTTCCTAGGGCTGTACATAGCTCTCCCTCTTTCATAAACCCAAGGTCGAGTCCTCGGTGGTTTTGAAGGACCATCTCAGCCAGAGAATCAACCTGTTTTTCCAAATGAGACACTGACTCGGTAAGCAGGCCTAAGTCTATTTTTACTTGTTGGGCAAGGTTCTTGAAGTTGGAGTCTTTCAGTCCTATTGCTGTTGTGCCCAGAGCCGTCGATCCCACAATATCTGCTGTAGTTAATACGGGAATCAAAGCTGGGTGGTGCTTTTCTCGGGTGTGTGCCTTCTTAGCTAGGTATTTCCAACCCTGGTCCTTTCCATATATAGTTACTTGCGGTAAAATGTGGACCATTACACTTACCTCAAATTCCTGATTAAGGACTGTCATGGACAAACAAGGAGTTATACCATTTATGCGTGTCCACCATGTATTGTTTTCAGTTTTTAGATATTTTTTATTACTGGCAGTGGGTGCCTGATAAGAGCATATACTGTCTAGAAAAGAAGATGTAACACTTGGATTTTTAACACATAACCCTTTTTCTGTTATATCCCCTATCAACAATCTCTGTTGTTTTCAATCACACTCATCTTGGTTAGCTTCTGAGTAGGTGCCATTTACTGTCACCCCTACATAATATGGGAGACATGGACTTAAACACATCCAACATCCTTGGGTAACACTGTAGTCAGATTTATTTAACAAGGTATACATGGCATTAAGGGTTTTTAGGTATGGCTGGATTGGAGATTCAGGAGCAGCTAATGTCACATTATGAGTTCTTTTGGCCTTCTTTTCTTGAGGGCTGGAGACCCTATAGATGTTGCCCACTGGTTTAGGCAGTACTATCACTGGGCTACGCTGGATGATGAGGTCAGTCATAGGGTCTTCCCACCTGCATTGAGTGCCACCGTCCAGGATTTTTCTTTTTTCCAATCTTTACACAGATTCTGTCATTGTTTTAAGGTTAACTTGATGGGATTACATTTTCCTTTAGAACATGAGCCACTTGGTGTTTGTCATTCTAAGGTCAAATACACATCATCATTTTTCCATGGGACAATAAATTCACAACCCCAATAATAACAGTGGTTTTCTGGTCCCCCATCACACCTTTTATCTTTTTGTATGGGGCAGGCATAAATATCTATGTCTTGGAGGTTCCTTTTCAAATTATCATCTGTTCCACACCTCCCTCCGCAACCCCCCGTACCCATTTTCCCAGATGAAACCCTATCATTGGAACCAGCCCCCCCCCACTAATGATTGAAAACCCCAGAGCACACAGGTCTACAACAAAATGGGGCTGTGTATCAGTAGTAATGGTGGCAATGTGAGCTCCCGTTAAGGCATTTTTTAGGGACCAAGTCCAGTTCTCGGGGAGTGTGGCTGGATAGCACCAGCTGGCATCCAGATCCCCCTTCTATCGGGGCTGGTAAGAACAGTAACCCCATGAGCCCCCATATTGTCTGAACTAGTTTTTGATCAATCTTATCTTGAGGGGGTCCTTTTTGTTCTGGTCGATCTGCCATGTTGACGTCGCTTCCTCAGGAGGTTCCACCTTCAAATGGCTGCAGTGGATCTAGGCAGAGTGCCCAGCTACCTTTACTGCCAAAGGGGTAGTCAGGATGACGGGAAATGGTCCTTTCCAGCGGAGATCCAAATTTTTGGAATCAAACCTGTGAATGAAAACCAAATCTTCCGGCTTATAAGGTAGGGGTGATAAGGGTTTTTCTGAAGGGTGAGCTCTAGATTTTTTAATTTCTTCTTGTAAATCGGACTGAAGCTGGTGAACGGCTTTCAGTGATTTAAGGAGTTGGAGGTGAGAGAGTTTTTCTGTCAATTTTAAATCAATTCTAGGGAAGAGAGGGGGCAGTCACCCATAGATTATCTGGAAGGGGGATACATTCAAAGGCAAACTTGGAGTACACCGGGTATGGTAGAGGGCAAAGGGGAGAAGCTCGACCCATCCCTGTTCAGTCTCCATGCATAATTTGGTCAATGTCTCCTTTAAGGTTCTATTTGCCCTTTCCACTTGCCCTGAGCTCTGAGGCCTATATGTACAATGTAAATTCCATTTTACTCCTAAGGCTCTGCTAATCAACTTGGATATCTTGGCCGTGAAGGCCGGGCCATTTTCATACCCCAGGGCTAATGGGAATCCAAATCGGGGAATTATTTCTGTCAAAAGTTTTTTACAGTTACTTCAGCCATTTCCTTTTTGGTGGGGAAGGCCTCTATCCAACCCGAAAAGGTATCCACAAAGACTAACAGGTACTTAAGTCCATATAGGCCAGGTTTCATTTTAGTGAAGTCTATTTCCCAGTGTTCTCCTGGCATTACTCCCCGATATTGAATCCCCGGGGGTCCCATGATTTGGCTGGCATTTACCTGAAGACAGGTGGAACATCATCTTACCAGGTCTTCAGCTTTTTGGGTCAGTCTTCGGCTGACAAAGTGGGGCCGCAGGGCCACCAGCATCCATCTTTCTCCAAGGTGAGTGGACTCATGTAGTTCTTGGAGCAGGATGTCTGCCAGGGCTCCCGGCAAAACTACTTTTTCCCCTTTGGTGGTCCACCACCCATGATCCCCCTTTTTCTATTGTTTTTTTTCATGTATTCTACTTTTTCCTTGGTATACTCTGGTTTATCTGGCAATACCAGGGTGGGGTGCAGGACCAACTGCTTCCCCACTGATTTTTGAGAGGCCTGTTTTGCTGCTTGGTCGGTGGCATTGTTTCCAATTATCTCGGGGCTGGACCCTTTTTGATGGCCCCTACAGTGTATGATAGTCACGTTTCAGGGCAGCCAAATGGCTTGCAATAATGTCAAGATCTCAGTCTTATTTTTAATAGTCTTTTTCTCAGAGGTTAAGAGACCTCAATTTTGGTAAATTTCCCCATGTACATGGGCCGTGGCAAAAGCATATTGGCTGTCAGTATAAATATCGATCCTTTTCTCTTTACCCAATTCCAAAGCCTTTGTTAAAGCAATCAATTCAGCCTTTTGGGCAGAGGTCCCTGGGGGTAGCCCTGTCTCCCATTCTAATTGGCAACTTTGGTTGACCACCGCTGCTCCAGCATATTGAACCCCATCTTGCACAAAGCTGCACCCATCAGTATAGAACGTGACCTCAGCCTGGGGGAGGGCTTGGTCCATTAGATCGGGATGCCCTCCCTGCAAGTTCTCAAGAATCTCGAGGCAGTCGTGTATGGGCACCTCCTCCTTGGACTCCAGGAGCAGAGTAGCAGGGTTGAGATGGGCAGTGGAGGAAAACCTGATATGCAGCTGTTCCAATAGGAGTCCTTGGTATTGCAACAGTCTGGCATTAGACAGCCACTTGTTAGGTGAGCTATTTAACAAGGGCTCAATGGCATGGGGAGTGATCAAAGTCAAATCCTGTCCGAATGTCAGTTTGTCAACCTCTCAGGTTAGAGCAGCTGCTGCTGCTACTGTCCTCAGACAGGTAGGCCACCCTTGGGCCACTGGGTCTAGCTTCTTTGAGAGGTATGTCACTGGCTGCTTCCATGATCCCAAAGGCTGAGTAATCACTCCCTTGGCTACTCCATTTTTCTCCACTACATACAGAGTGAAGGGCTTGTTTAAGTCTGGCAATGCCAGGGCTGGTGCTGATGCAAGGGCAGTCTTAAGCAATTGAAATGCCTGCTGGCAAGCCTCAGTCCATTCGAGGGGTGTATCTCCCACTGCGGTGGCTTCATGGAGGGGTTTGGCAATTTCAGCAAAGCCAGGGATCCAAATTCTGTAATACCCAACTGCCCCTAGGACTTCATGCACCTGTTTCTTTGAGCTTGGTTCCAGAATCTGGAGAATTGCTGATACCCTTGATTCTGCCAGCCTCCTCTTCTCTTCCTCAAGAATATAGCCCAAGTAGGTTAACTTGGTCTGGCAGAGCTGAGCTTTCTTCCAGGATACCCAATATCCCAGGTCTTGGAGGACTTCCAGGAGTCCCTTGGTGGCCACAAGACACTCTTCATCAGTCTAAGTTGTCACTAGGAGGTCGTCTACATACTGAAAAATAGTTGCTTGGGGAAAAGCTCTCCTCATCTCTCATAAATCTTTGCTGAGAGCTTCCCCAAACAGAGTAGGGGAGTTCTTGAATCCCTGTGGCAGCTGGGTCCATGTCAGCTGTCCGGTAGTCCTGGTGTCTGGGTCAGTCCATTCGAAGGCAAAGAGGGGCTGGCTCACTGGTGCTAGGGGTTGGCTGAAAAATGCATCTTTGAGGTCTAATACTGAGTACCACACATGAGCAGGAGGGATGAGACTCAACAGAGTATAGGGGTTTGGTACCATTGGGTGGACGGTCTCCTCCCAGCTGTTTACCTCCTGCAAATGCTGTACCAGTCTGAAGTCTGAGGTGTCAGGCTTCCTCACAGAAAGCAGGGGTGTATTCCAGGCTGACTGGCAAGGGACCAAGATGCCGGCTTTCTGGAGTCGGTGGATGTGCTTAGAGATCCCCACCTTGGCTTCCAGCTGGAGGGGGTATTGTCACACATGGATGGGGGTAGCAGAGGCCAACAATTGGACCACCACCAGGGCATGGTAGTTGGCCAGCCCAGGTGGATTGGTTTCAGCCCATACCCTGGGAAACTTTTTCTGAAGGTAGTCCCATTTTTGTTTTGGGGGGCTCTGCGTCCTCTTTTAGCAATCTAAATTCATCTTTTAGGGGAACCGTTACCATAATGGCAGAGGGTGGCTTGAGTTCAAAAGTCCCTCCTTCAGGCTCAAAGGAAATAATAGCCCCCAACTTTCATAGCAAGTCTCTTCCCAGCAATGGGTATGAGCACTCAGGGATAACTAAGAAGGAATGGGTGACAGTGCCTTTTCCTAGATTCACAGTTTGTCTAGTGGTCCAAGGGTAGGAGGCTGACTTCTCTGTGGCTCCAGTAATGGTTTAAGGAAGTGAGGGGTCCAAGGGGGTCTTCAGGACAGAGTGGGCCACACCAATGTCCACAAGGAACTGAACATCTGTTTCCCCTATCTCCAAAGTCACCATAGGCTCACTAGGGTTAAGCAGACATGAGCCTTGGCCCCGTCAATCTTTTTCATCTACTAAGAGGATTTCACGTTTTTCCTTTTGGGCCTCCTTTTCTCTTTTTCTTTTTAGCTTTTTACAATCCTTTTTAAAATGGCCCTTTTCCTTGTAATAGGCACACTGATCTTTCTCTAATAAGGGTCAGATTTTTCCCTTGTTCCCTCCTTTGTTTTTAGGTCTTTTTTTTTTTTTTGGACAAATCCTCCATCGGCCAAGGCAGCTATGGTCATTTTTCCCAGTCTCTTGGCCATTTTCTCTTCCGGGGGATCCCTGTTGTTAAATGCCTTTATGGCTACACTCATCAACTTTTCTCTATTTTCTCCCTCAAATCCTTCTAGCCTTTGCAGCTTCTTTCTAATGTCTGGGGCCAACTGGGTAACAAATGTCAAATTTATTGCCTGCCGATTTGCAGGGGCGTCTGGATTGATTGGAGTATATGTATGGTATGCTTCCAACAGATGCTCCAAAAAGGCAGAAGGGGATTCCTCTGATCCTTGAAGGACCTCGCTTACCTTGCTCAAATTGGTAGGCTTCCGAGCGGCTCCCCTCAGGCCGGCCAGGAGATGCTGACGATAGTTCTGGAGAGCCTCTCTCCCGCCCGAGGTATTAGCTTGCCAGAAGGGTCTGGTGGACGGGAGTTGTGCTTCAATATGGGCCTACTGTTGCTCATCTAGGGGGCCCTCTGTTCTCCCTAGTACCGACCTTACAGCTTGTCCCCGGATTCTTTCCCTCTCCTTTGAGGTAAAAAGGGCCTGGAGGAGTTGTTAGCAATCATCCCAAGTAGGATCATGGGTATGAAAGATAGACTCCAGGAGAGAGATTAGAGCCTGGGGTTTCTCTGAAAAAGGAGGATTCTGATGTTTCCAATTATATAAGTCATTAGTAGTAAAAGGGATATAAACATAGTGACCTTGTTCTGTCTCCCGAAGGGGCCAGAGAGGGGCCAAACTAGTTCCCCCAGCGGGGACCTCGCTAGGTCCATATGCAGCCCCAGCTTGCATGTGTGGGGGAGAAGTCACAGAGTCTGGGGACTGGGGGCCCTCAGGGAGAGGAGGATAGAGAGAGGTAGGAGCAGAAGGTTGAACAGATGGAGGAAGGAAAGGATTTCGGGGTCTAGAGCAGGATCCATCTGAGGAGGTGGAGGATTCCACATAGGGCGGAGGCCCTCCCAAGGGGTCTAGGGGGTCAGGTTCCTGTGAGAGTACCAGCTTGGGAGCCCAGGTTTTAAGTCCCTGGGGTCCTTTCGGGGCAGCAACTAAAATGCGAGTGTCTGTTTGAATGGAACAGTGCTGCAGCCAAGCTGGAGGTTCCTCACAAGCCTGAAGCTAGATGTCTATGTAGGGAAATTGGTCTGGGTGGCCAGGGTGACCTTGCCCCAAACCGCCTGTCAAATACTGGGGTCAAATGTCCCTTTGGCTGGCCATCCCACCCCGAAGGCTGGCCATTCCAGTTGGCACAGGGAGCAGAGTCTTCCACGAGAAAATTTTGCCCCATATTCATCTTCTTGTTCTGGAGAAAAAGCCAATTTAAAATTACTGAGAAAATAGTCAAGCAGAGTGGACCCAGTAGAACAGGTTCCTCTCATTACTCTGCTCCCGGTGAGGATTGAAAAAATGTAAAATCAGACACACAATAGACACAACACTAACATACAAAAGACAAGATGAATGGGCACCATGACAAACTGAAACTAAATCTTCCCTTGTTCCTCGTCAGGAACCTTGGGGTCAGGGGAGGCTTCCCGGCTCGTCAGCCACCTCACTCCTGACTTAACAAATGGTTGCAACCAGCCAAAAGCTTACCTCCAGAGGCTTTCTGAGGTCTGTGTCCAAGGGTCTCCTGCTGGATCCTGCCACTGAGTCTCAGCTGAATCGGAGGTTCCTACCTGGGGATCTCGCTGGGGCCTCCAAATGTAAGACCGTGGGCCTCACCATCTGCTCCAAGGAGCTGACTACAGTGAGGATCACCGGGGAGGGAACACAGCGGACAAACTGAGAAAGTAAAACAGACCTTTATTAGTCTGGCCAGACGGCACCCTCCAAGCACCAAGCTTAGAGAGGCAGCCGGCTCAGAGTCTGAGGTCCTTTTATAGGGGTCGCAAGAGGGAACTTGGCAAGCAGCAGTACAGAATTGAGACATTGGCGGTTAGGGGAGTGTTGCAACTAATCTTTACATAGCAGGCATAAGACTATCTTGTGGTTTTTCTTGGAACAACAACAAGTACATTCCAGGAACTCAACATCCCCATGGTGACCCATAACAGAAACAGACAAGATGGGGCCTTATTACAAAATGGAGTAACTTCTGTTCAGTCTCACAGGCAGGAGTAGAAAACCAGGTCTAGAATGACAGCTGCATGCGTCCAGGCCAGGGCAGAGGGGAAGAGGCAGGGCTCATGCTGACCTGGCCAGGAGTGGGAGACAGTGCGGAGTCACAGCCCCAGATGTACAGCTCCCTTTGTTCCTTAGTAACTGTATGGCCATAGGCTGTTGTTTTGTGTCTGTGCTCATCCTACCTATAGAGTGGGAATGGTGTCTGCCAGAGTTGTTGAAGGAAGATTTAAGGGAGGTGTTGAAGGGATTATCTCTGTGCTGGCACAGAGTTGACAAGCAAAATGGTAATTCCTTTCCTCTCCTGTCTGTCTTTCTTTACCTAGGAAATGGCACAGAGAACAGTCAGTGTGTTCACCACATTCCTGATGCTGGCGGTGTTAGAGTCAGAGCCCCTGTTTGGCCTAGGAACCCTCTTGAGTTTGGGCTTCCTGGAGAGCTATGACCTGGTGATTGAGACAGAGGTGCGTGATGCTGTACTGGGTCAGTTTAGGTCAGGGTTTTTCAACTGCCAGTCACAACCAGTAATGATTCAAGAGACCTATTTTGTGGGCTAAAATCAGCACTAAAACAACAACATCAACAACAACAACAACAACAACAGTAGAATAAATTAGAACAGAGCCTCACAGAACAGATGCAGTGATATCAGAGTGCATTTCAAAAAAATAAAAGTCTCAGTAATGCATGTGTGTACTACCTGGAAGTGTGAAATATTTTTCTTACTGAGGATGTGGGCAAAAATCAAGGAAACAACAACGACAACAACAATAACACACACATGAAGGTCTGGAAGACCTGAGACCTTGTCCGGAAAGTTTTGGCTGCACTGAAGTTCAGGCCTTCTGAACAATGAGATTCCCACAGAGCTGCCTACTGCTTGTAGTGACTTTGGAAGTCTTAGGGCAATGATTTAATATGACATTTTTTCTGGGTAAAATGGATGGAAATGCTAGTCTGAAATTCCCCACGGGATGTAGATCACTGAGGGCTACTTTGTTGACCAGTTGTCACTGGTCATTTTTTTTTTTGCCTTAAAAATAAGCACCAGCTTTGGGCTTGGTCACTGAGGCCCTGGGGTGGGTGGAGAAGTGAATGAAGAATGAATCATGGTTGGACATGGGTCAGAGGCGGGTGTGAGGTGGAAGGGAGAGCTTTGGATTGTGAGACTTCCTTCATTCAACCTGGGATAGGCATGTCTACTATAAGCCAGGTGTTTTTCTTTCCCTTATAGATCATGTTATATAGTGGCAAAACCAGATAAGGGCTTGCCAAAGAAAGATTTTTACACAACGAGTTAGAATTCTTGCCTATCAAGATTTAATTTGTCTGGGCTGGGAGTGTGGCTCAATGGCCAGGTACATCCTCAATGCACATGAGGCCATGCGTTCAGTCTCCCACCGAGGAGGTATTGGAGGGTGAGTATTTAAAGTTTCCCTGGGCCTAATATGGGTCCGGAATGTGTTTTTCAAAAAACGACTTGAGGTACATGCATAGATTGTTTTGTTCTCTGTTCTTAGTTTCAAAACTAGTTGAGAGGGAGAACAATGAGTTATCTCTTTCTGTGTGTGTGCACATGCACACACATACACACACACGCACAATGCTAAATTCAGTTGCCTTCTAGCTCCATGGTCTTTGTTTTCTCAGTGTGCCAGTGGGCCTCAATAGCAGAAAGCTCTCCTCATCCACCTCCAGCAACTGGAAAAACTCATTCCCCAGGGAGTCCTGGACACCCAGCCATGTGACTTACAAGGTCAGTCCTTATGAGTTTATTTAACAAAACTGCTTGCAGTCATTTCTTGATAATAAAAGCAGTACTTGCACATTGTACAGAATATAGAGAACACAGAAAAGTATATTCCTGGAACATTTTGTGCATGGAAATTGTTGATAGAAATCTCTTCAGAGGCTTACTCTGAGTTATGTATGAAGAAGGGAAGGGATGTGTTTGGATGGGTTAAGAGCTTTGCAGTCTGGAAACAATAGGAAATGTCTTCTTCCTGGAGCTAAGTCATTCTCTTCTCGCTCCCAGTAGGACAAATACAGGACTTGTCTTTCCTTGGCAGGTTACAGTGATGGCAGTTTTATGAACCTCACAGAACCATTCTCGGCTCTCTGTCTTTCCTTGTGCCTTGCCCTGGAAGCCGGAGAGGGAACACTACTAACACAGCCTCAGACTGGAGGTTACAGGGCTTATAAAGCACTTGGGGCAAAACCCTGCAGCTGTATCTGGGTCGTGGTTTATACAGAGCATGTATCTTAGCCAGAGATGGAGGTGTTTTGAAAAGTCTCTGGTGGTTTATCTAAACTACACAGGCTCCTTTCACTGTCCTATCCCAGTGTGTGTCAGCTTTTCAGGGGTAAATGAATGTGGTTCAGAAAAGCCCACAGGAAATCTAGCCCCCCCCCCGCTTCCCGCCTCAACCTATTGATACAAAAGATAATGTACCTGAACCCTGATGAAAAATACAGAGAATGGATGTGAAAATTATAAAATCGGAGGTAAGAGGGTCTGGGAAAATAATCATCAGCAGGCACTATTTCTCAGAAATAGGCATCTGCCTGCACTCAACTGTCCTCCTGACATTTCTAATGTGACTTCGGGCACATCATCATAAGCTGAGGGGAGGGAGAGGGAGAGAGCTCTTTGCCCGAGGCAATGATTATCCTCAAAGCTTGGCAAATAGAGCTCCAGCCTGGTGCTGGAATGCTCTGTTCCCTCAGAGTGCCAGGCTTTGTTGACAAGCTGTTCTAGAGACCAAATGATGTCAGAAGCTGGGCAAACAAGTCCTCTGACCGAAAGGAACATCACGGTAACCACTGTCAGTAAAATGCTGCTTTACAAACATTTTCAACCTTTCTGCAGCTTATGTTTTAGATGAGACTCTTGTAAGTAGCAAATAAATTAAAAATTTTTCTTTTAATTTCATATGTGTACAGGATAAGCCATTCACATTATATATGCAGAATTTGTGATTAATCTTTTTTGGCTATTTGTCCCACCTGTTTCTCTCCCATTTGTTTCTTTTTAAAGAATTTGAACACCTCACCTTTTCCTGTTAGTTTGAAAGTAACATACTTCATTTCTATGCCTAGTAGTTCAAAAAAGTTTAAACTTAATCAATAACTTTCTTAGTTCAAGTGCCTTAGCACTTTTAACTCTACTTATCCTGCTCCTGAATTATATGGTACTATTCTGGTGTAAATATTGTTTAATTTAAATCCTTAAGACTTTATTACTATTGTTTCTCACGGCCAACATTTGTTTAGTCATGTATGTCTACTTTTGTTCTCATTCCTCCAACCCTTAGAATTTCCTTTAGTGACATCATGCTAGTGGTACATTTGCAGTTTAGGGGTCTGGATACCTTTTTATTCTCATTCTTGAAAGACAATTTTAGTGGGAATAGGGTTGTTTGGCAGTTATTTCCTTTATTGTCCCTTCCTGCATTGTCTTCTGGCTTCTGTTGTTGCTGTTGAGAGAGTTCCCAAAATCCTCAGAATGAAATCTATTTTTCTCTGGCTGTCTTAAAATTACTTTGCTATTCCTGATTTGCAGTGTCACTGTAATGTGTCTAGGTGTGGATTTAATTCATCTTGTTTAGGTTTCAGTGAACGTGACCTTCAGATGGTTGCTTCTTATCAGTTCAGGTAAACCCTGAGCCTGTATCTCTTGAAATACCCTCTATCGTACTTTCTCTTTCATCTTCTTCTGAAAGTTATCATGAGATCAGTGTTAAGACTTTCCGCCCTTTCATGTTGCTTAACTTTCATTTGTTTTTCTCTTTTTTATCTTGGTACCAGGGATCAAACTCAGGACCTCGCACTTTCCAGCTCCACTGATCCCCTTTTATTTTGCTTTTGCCTTGTGCCACATTTGGAATAACTTTTTCTAATCTGTTCTGGTTACTATGTTCATTTCCATTACGCTCTATTAATTTTAACTTTTTATTAGTTTTTTCAAATCTGTTGTCATTTAAAATCTTTTCTATTCTCTGTAGGTATTTTCAAATTTTTTTAAAAAATTAAAGTACATTAAAATAGTATTTTATAATCTATAATTTCAGAATATGAATATGTGAACCTTTGTAACCTTTTTTTTTTTTTTTTTTTTGGTACCGGGGATCGAACGCGGGTCCTTATGCTTGCAAGGCAGGCAGCGGAACCACGAAGCTAAATCTCCAGCCCTTTTTGTAACTTTTTTTTGCTACCTGCTCTCATTCATGGTGTCTTGTTTCCTTGTGATTACTTTGGGAGATGTTCATATTCCTCAGAAAATTTGGGGACTTCTTTGAGGCTTATGAAGAGGGTACCCCTTTAGGGAAGGTCTGCTTTTTTTTCTGTCAGGTATTTAGGGAACTCTCCTCTCTAGTTTAATCTAACTTAATAGTTCGATGCTTTTGTAATGTATAGGAATGTGCATTTGGACAGCATGACCCAGCCTGTAGTAATGGTTTCTTAGATTTTTCTTAACTTGATCTGCCCAGATCTAAAGTAACTTTTCTTACAGCCCTGGGGGCGGAAAGGTAGTGTTGCTACTGGTTCCTCCCCATCCTACACCAGTAGCCCTTTTTTGGGGGTTCCTGGAGGGTCTTTCTGTTCATCCTGTCCAATTAGATCTTTAACAAATGGAAGCTCACAGTCCTCTGGTTTGGTAAAAACCCCAGGGCACCTTCATGGCATAACTCTCAGGATTCCATTTTCAGTTGGATTT